ACCATACACAGATTAGAAGGAACTTAGCAACTCTGTATCAGAAGGATAGTGAGTCCCATTGGCAGTTGCCCTATATATTCAATTTTTCTTTCCCTCTAATGTAAGGATTATCCTGCAGTGTTTACAGGGGGTGTTTTCTGTCAAACTACTAGTAAATTCATTCTTATAACTTGAAAAATACAGCATGCATTAAAATTCAAAGAAAAGGTAGCAGTTTAGGGGAACAGAAACCTATGAACCCAAATTTCAATCTTTTTCACAAGAGCCCCAAAGTAACTTGTGCCCTCCACCTCCTTTCCAGCTGAGGGCCCTAGGGACTGCCACTGTCCTGTTCCCTACAAGAGGATGGTTAGCTAGGAAGGCAATCTTCTTATTTCCCAAGAAATGTACACCATCTCAGAAAAAGTCCAAGATTAAGAGTAAAGCCAGTCCTTCACAGCCGGCAGTTCAAAGTGAGTTATTTATGCAGCCTGTGGTAAGATGTTAACTAGAGGTGCAAAGTTTATGTGCAGGAAGTAAGCAGAGCTATGCTGAAAGAAAGACACCGAGCAAAGCTTTTGTGTTCTTGGGTGTCAAGGTTTCCCATACATTTTATTGTCTGAGTTTCAGTGGAAATAAATAAAATGCTACACTGAGGATCCAATACTGATATTGAATTTTGACAGCTGTTTTCCACTCCTCAGAAAAATATATTAAACAAAATGCAGAGTCACGTAATTCAAGTTACTGTCTGTTTTGTTCATAAAGGAAAATGCTTTATATGCAGAAATTTCAAGTGAGAGGAGATGTCAGGTCTCCAAAAGCAGCTATTATCAAACAAAGCAGCCAGATAATGAATGCCCCGGAGATGGCTGTGACCACAATATTGGAGATTAGCCCATGTCTTCATCTCTCTTGGTAGAGGCACATGCTTTTGAGCTGCTTATTGTACCAACAAAGCCTATCTATGTGTTCTAGTTTTTTGACATAAAGTTTCCTCTTCTCTTTATAGAGTATTACTTTCACTTCCTGGTTATTCTTTCTACAACCCTTGCTGACCAGTTACTATGAGTAAGGCATGGAAAAAGAATGGTATACAATAGTATTCAGGATGTTTTTGTTATATGTAAAGATGAATAGGCCATTTAAATAACTGATCAGCTTGATTCTCCACCTCCAAATTAGTGTCCCCCTTCCAGACAGAACAACTCTGCCTGTAACCTCTTACCACATCCTCTTGTAGAGTGGCTTTTATCCCAGGCATTTAAGAGAGGGATTATTGGCCGGGTGCGGTGGCTCAAGCCTGTAATCCCAGCACTTTGGGAGGCCAAGACGGGCAGATCACGAGGTCAGGAGATCGAGACCATCCTGGCTAACATGGTGAAACCCCATCTCTACTAAAAAAATACAAAAAACTAGCCGGGCAAGGTGGTGGGCGCCTGTAGTCCCAGCTACTCGGGAGGCTGAGGCAGGAGAATGGTGTAAACCCGGGAGGCGGAGCTTGCAGTGAGCTGAGATCCGGCCACTGCACTCCAGCCTGGGCAACAGAGCGAGACTCCATCTCAAAAAAAAAAAAAAAAAAAAGAGAGAGAGAGAGGGATTATCTATTTCAGTGCAGATGACTCCATCACCCCTCTCAGAAACTGGGCTATTCTAGAATGGTGTGTGTGTGTGTGTGTGTGTGTGTGTGTGTGTGTGTCCAACCCAAGACACTATTCCAAATAATTAAACAATTTGGCATTTTAGGTAGGCCCACATTCTGGTTAATTGAGAATTGCCACTTATGTAAATTACCAGGTTATAAGCAAATAGGGCAAAAGGCTCTCAAGGTAGTTACTTCCTTTGTATTAATTAGAAAAAGGAACGCTCAAGAGTTTAATAACAAAATCACACACCTGTTTTGGATGGTTGATATCTTGTTTATGTGTATCATGGCTAATAGTAATGCTGTAATTCATCACATTCGAAAAGTAATCAACAGTTCTAGCTGTACAAAATTAAAATTGATTAAGACCCTGCATCACCCTGGCAGAAGCTAATAATTACATCAGTGTTAACTCTATGGCCAATAGCCAAAACCCTTTTTAGCCTCTTTTGGTTTAAAAAGATCTGCTATATAAAATCTAGTATATACAATCTAAGCAAAATGGATTAGAATAAAATAATGTTGATATATTTAATATAAATAATTCTGCAGAGGAAGCTACTCTCATGTTTATTGACCACTGATAGAACATTACTCTGGACTGGGTGCTGTGCTAGGTGCTCTGCAAATTTGATCCATTTTATCCTCACCAAATGCATGAAGGTATGTTGGTGCCAGCCTCCCATGATATAGACGAAGTGGGGACTATAGGAATGAAGAAGACAATTCGGGAGCCCAGAGTCACAGCCAAGACTCAAATCCAGGGATGTCTCAAATGGATGAACAAAGCATCCTTTCTAATCAATGAGCAACTATGCTGTCTAACAAGACCTTGTACATGAGTACAGGAAATATATTTCACAGATCTAGATTCAAACACTGGGAGAAAAACACTCTTCTTAGAAATCATGCCCTTACTTTTACAATCAAGAGTTTTCTGAAGGATAAGCAAAACTGGTCAATATCCAAGGTCTCAGAGGATGTTCCCTCTTGGAGACACAGCTCATCAATCTCTTCTTGAATGTTGCAAACAATGGGTCAGGAACAGAGAGGGATGGAGGAAATGAAGAGTCATTAGCCATAATAAGTGTCCTTATGAACAGCTCTGATGTCATTTATCTCCACCTTCCAAGAATCCTGGATGGGCTTGCATAGGCAAGTGACAAATATTGTCAATTAAGTCTTTGAAGATAATGGCAAATGTCACTAAGAAAGATTTGTGTTGACTATTACATCAACTCAGTGTTCTCTCCTGGTCGCAATGGCCAATGTGAGGTAACATGAGGTTAGGACAGTCATGTCTGTGCTTGGATGAAGCGGAATTCTAATGCAGAAGTTAGATTAGAGATTCTCCAAAAATCTTTTTCCAGATGAATGGCAAGAGTGAGGCAGTGGCCCTCAACTCTGGAATAAACCGGTGTTCTTGGCTGGTGTGAGACCACGTATTAGACCCTAAAGATGGTCATAAGCAGTAACCAGGACACTCATTATTCTACAGTTCTGAGAGTGCTGAAAATATGGGCAGGAGTTAGAAGGGAACTTTTTTTCTGACTTTTTCTCCCAGGCTGTCCCTGCAATATCTACCATTTCATGAAAGAAACAATCTTAAACTAAGTTATACAGAGTACTTGATTCATGTTTCCTCTCTTTTTTGTCATCCTGATTCTACCTTTATGGCAGAGAGAATAAGCCATCTCATGATTGCCTTGGACCAACCATCCCAGGCCAGTAGAGAAAGATACACCTATTTCCCCAGGAGCAGAGAGGTTGTCCATGGTGGGGGTTGGGTGGTGAAACTACACAACATGGCCAGCCGAATCTTCCTTTAAAAAGGTCCTATCATCATGTGGGGCATGGAGCATGATGAAAGGCCAGTGGGGGTTGCCTTTATTCACTTCTGCTTCCTCCTCTGCCTAATCTCTGCGCCTGAGGGAGCTTTACAGATCCCCCAACTCTGGGTGATGGAGCAATGGACCATATAGGCCCATGTTCCCCTGTATTACCTCATCCTGTACCTACCTCTTATATTTGTCAATAAAAAGTCTATGGCTGTCTTGCTTTTTGTAGTCCACCCTTATAAATGCTCTACTACTAAAAACATACAACTTTTACGGGACAATTGGAAATTTGAACACTAACTCTACATTTAATATTAAGGAAATATTAAACTTCTATTTAGGAGTGAGAATGGTATTGTGAAAATATTAGGTTTGTTTAAGAGTGCACAGCTTTTAGATCTATGTAATAAATATTTTCAGATTGAATGACATGATGTCTAGGATTTGGTTCATAATAACGTGGGAGGGATGGCAGCCGGAGGACGTATGGATGAAACAAGGTTGGGCTTGAGCTGATAATCTTTGAAGCTGGGTGATGAGTTCACTGTACTGGGTTTGGTTTTTGGTTTGTTAGTTGTGTGTATGTTAAAAATTTTTCCATAATAAAAGCTTTTTTAGAAAGAATTAAAATTGGTTAAAGTTATTTTAAATTAATATTAGAAAATTGTATTTCTCAAAAATATTTTATGTGCAATTATCATGATTTATAATGTTAAATGGAATAGGAAGATCTAAAACATATAAGATACAAAGTACTGCATATAAAGTACTGCATATACACGTTTATAGGTACATGTAAGTGGAAGAAGAAATGATACAAATATAAATTATGTTTGCCCCTGGCTGGTGAGAATACATATTATTTTTCTTTATTCATTGTTACATTTTTGTACTTCCCAAACTGTCTAGAGAGAAAAGATACTATATTTATAATTTTATAGTTATTTTTATATATAAGCCATGCTTGTGACATATTATTAGATTTTTTTAAAAGATACAGAACTGTTTGTGAAAAAGAACCTCAATTCTGTTCTAAAATGTGTGCACATGGTAAGAGTGTGTGTGTGTGTGTATCTAAAACAAACAGCATCAAAAAAAGAAACAAATCTATATTCTAGATTTTCATAGACAAAAATAAATAAATATATAAATAAAATGAACAGCATCAGTTGTTAATTGTGGCTATCTCTAGATGGTGATGTTATTGGACATTTTTTAGTTATTTACCTCTCTGTGTGTTTCTTCAATTAATAAGTACAATATAATCAGAAAAATATGGCATAAAAAATTAAAGCTAGATTATAGTTCTTTGTAAGTAAAGGATTAGCTATATGGGACAATAAAATATACAAGGAACTACATAATATATACTTAAAAAACACATAAGTAAGTCCAAAGGAATTTTAAATTCTCAAAGTATGTTAAGCTTTTAAACAATGTTGATATAAAATCTTTTCAATAGCCAGCATTAAGTGGTGATGCTCTTGCCTTCATGTACTCAACTCCTTAATCATGTTTCATTTTCTATCCAACTCCAGGTATATCGATGCCAATACCAGTCTTTGGGCTACAGGATGATTCGAAGGTCTTTAAGGAGGGGAGTTGCTTACTTGCCGATGATAACTTTGTCTTGATCGGCTCTTTTGTGTCATTTTTCATTCCCTTGACCATCATGGTGATCACCTACTTTCTAACTATCAAGTCACTCCAGAAAGAAGCTACTTTGTGTGTAAGTGATCTCGGCACACGGGCCAAATTAGCTTCTTTCAGCTTCCTCCCTCAGAGTTCTTTGTCTTCAGAAAAGCTGTTCCAGAGGTCTATCCACAGGGACCCAGGGTCCTACACAGGCAGAAGGACTATGCAGTCCATCAGCAATGAGCAAAAGGCATGCAAGGTGCTGGGTATCGTCTTCTTCCTGTTTGTGGTGATGTGGTGCCCTTTCTTCATCACGAACATCATGGCCGTCATCTGCAAAGAGTCTTGCAATGAGGATGTCATTGGGGCCCTGCTCAATGTGTTTGTTTGGATCGGTTATCTCTCTTCAGCAGTCAACCCACTGGTCTACACACTGTTCAACAAGACTTATAGGTCAGCCTTTTCACGGTATATTCAGTGTCAGTACAAGGAAAACAAAAAACCATTGCAGTTAATTTTAGTGAACACTATACCGGCTTTGGCCTACAAGTCTAGCCAACTTCAAATGGGACAAAAAAAGAATTCAAAGCAAGATGCCAAGACAACAGATAATGACTGCTCAATGGTTGCTCTAGGAAAGCAGCATTCTGAAGATGCTTCTAAAGACAATAGCGACGGAGTGAATGAAAAGGTGAGCTGTGTGTGACAGGCCAGTTGCCATGGTAACTGTGGAGGGCACACTGAGCAAGTTTTCACCTATCTGGAAAAAAAAATAAGAGACTGGAAAAAATTACACCAGTCTAGTGGAACCAACGATCATATCTGTATGCCTCATTTTATTCTGTCAATGAAAAGTGGGGTTCAATGCTACAAAGTGTGTGCTTGGAAAATGTTCTGACAGCATTTCAGCTGTGAGCTTTCTGATACTTATTTATAACATTGTAAATTATGTCTTTAAAATGATTCACTTTTATTGTATAATTATGAAGCCCTAAGTAAATCTAAATTAACTTCTATTTTCAAGTGGAAACCTTGCTGCTATGCTGTTCCTTGATGGCATGGGATAGAGTTGGTTACCTATATGCTGTAAATAAAAATAGCTATAAATAGTGAAAATTTTATTGAACATAATGGCCTCTTTAAAAATCTCTTTAAAACTTACTATGGTATATATTTTGAAAGGAGAAAAAAAAGACACTAAGGTCAGTGTTACAAAATCTGTATTGCTAAGATAATTAAATGAAATACTTGACAACATTTTTCATTCCTGCTTTTTCATAGATACCATTTTGAAATATTCACAAGGTTGCTGCATTTGCTGCATTTCAAGTTAATTCTCAGAAGTGAAAAATATTTCAAATATTATTCAATAACTATTGCTGCTTTCTCTTCTACTTCTTGTGCTTTACTCTGAATTTCCAATGTGGTCTTGTTTGATACTTGTTCTTCTAGGTAAACTAGCAAAAGGATGATTTAACATTACCAAATGTGTTTCTAGCAATTGCTTCTCTAAAACAGCACCATAGAGGTTATTTGGTAACTTGCTGTGAAATGACTGCATCATGCATGCACTCTTTTGAGCAGTAAACAGTATATTGATGTAACTGTGTCAGGATTGAGGATGAACTCAGGTTTCTGGCTACTGACAGTAGTAGAGTCCCAGGACATCTCCGTAAAAAGCAGGTGACTTTCCTATGACACTCATCAGGTAAATTGATGCTTTCAGATCCATTGGTTTATACTATTCATTAAAACCATTCCGCTTGGTTCCACAATCATCTATTGAGTGTACATTTATGTGTGAAGCAAATTTCTAGATATGAGAAATATAAAAATAATTAAAATAAAAATCCTTGCCTTTAAACAAAATGGTTCGGCCAGGCACGGTGGCTCATGCGTGTAATCCTAGCACTTCAGGAGGCTGAGATGGGAGGATCACTTGAGGCCAAGAGTTCAAGACCAACCTGGGTAAAAAAGTGAGACCTCCCTGTCTTTACAAAAAAAAATTAGCTGATCCTGGTGGCACACAACTGTGGTCCCAGCTACACGGGAGGCTGAGACACAAGGATCACTTGAGCTCAGGCGCTCAAGGCTGCAGTGAGCCAAGTTCACATCACTGCCATTTCCTCCTGGGCAACAGAGCGAGACAACTACCACAAAAAAAAAAAAAAAAAAAAAAAAGACTAAACTGAAATGGTCTTAGTCAAAAAATATAAACAGACTTATTTTTAGAATCCTTTCAACTTATTTCCTTCTTACCTGGTTCAGAAACAAGTTTGTTTCAACTGTGAGAGTAGTTTTCAAAATAAGTTTTCTTGATTGGTTTACCAACAAACAACAAACAAAGAAAGGAGGGGGAAAATATCACTTGAGGCTTAACATTGCAATTAATTTAGAAATATACACCTGAATCTCAAACCAATTTATAACTACCATAGTTTTGAGCAAAATTTTTCTTTTATTTCTCCAAAAACTCACTCATTTCAGTATTACTCATTGGCACTGAGCTCCCTAATTGAAAAGCAGATATTATAATATTTCGTTGAAGTTGTTACTGAAGAGAAAAAGAGATTAACAACAGTTAATCCACTTTGATATTATAACACTCAAGGTTAAATTACATGTTGTTATTGGAATCAGTGTTAGATATGTGATTACAATGCTGAAGCATTTCTATTGAATGAGAAATAGTTTTTGCCTTAAACCTTTGGAAAAAGCTACAGATTTGAAAACTAAAGAATGTGGGAAGTGTCACTGTGTGATTTGGAAATGCATAAATTCTAATTATGTCCTCATAGATATGTTGAAAGATAGTTCACTATTTCAAAGATAGAATGTGTAAGATGCTGCTAGTACCAAGGCTGCATTTGAACTGAACTACTCCATGATTATACCATACTAACTGATAAAAATATAAATGTTAAAATGTCTGTGCTCTAATGTATTTTGCCTTCACTTATAACACTGCACATTTCATTTTATATTAGGGAAAATATTACAGATTCTACCCCCATATACTCAATCTTGATCAGAATGAACATTAATGTTGCCTGATAGATGTCTTTTGACTACCTATATATTACAAATGTATATGTGTTTTTTTATTCCATTAGTATCTATTCAAGTGTATACTGTATAGGCAAATGTGTAGCTGTATATATGTACAGACATGTTCTCATGCACTTTATTCAATATTTATATATTTATATGGAGGAAAAGCAAGTCAATGAAAACAGTCAGTGTATACACACGTGTGCATGTTTGTATCATGTTTATTTAAATGTGAATTCATGTTCTAATATTTCTATGACCTTCCATTGCTGCAAAGCAGATTAAAGTGTAACAAAAGTATCAGCTCTTTAAATAAACTGGAAGTTAATCTAATTTTGTGGAAGAACTTTAAGACAAGTCTATGAGGATGGTGAACACAATGGTCCACATATATAGTTTCTTGATCCTAAATAAAATGGCACCTTTGGGCCCTTTGTTTAGTTTGGCGATTTTCTGACTACTATGACTTTTTAAACAGACTCACGCCTAAGTGAAACACAGTTGTCAAATGATTTATGGATCTGTGATTAAAGGACTCACTTTTAATCAATACTATCAAAACGGAGTAACAAACCTTGCTCTACTTTAAGTTGAATGATAGATTCCTCTATATTCAAAAAAAAAGCAATTAACTGCCATAATTAGGGAAAACTCAGTTTAAAGCATACTTCATCTACTTGGCCACAGCGCCATCTCATGGTAATTTTTTAAAGTGCTCCTGTAGCCAAATTGAACTAAGTCACTGTACTGCTTTCAGAAAAGGGTGCTTCTCCCATTTGTGCATCAATGAGACACATCAATGAGACATATTTGCAAAGTGCTAAATTATTCTGTGCCATATGTAACAAATACAGTGAAGATTATTTTATGAACTTATTTTAATCAAGGTGATGCTAAAAGTTTTTCAAGAAAGGATAACTGTAAATAAAGTATACTCAAAAATGAATGCAATTTGGTGTGAGTCCATAGCTGTGTCTTCTAAAGGGAATTACCCCAAATCTTCCAGGTCATCAGACTCAGAACTCCAGGTATCATCCTGATATTTGAGAACAAAAAAGCCTGTGCTTCTGGAAGTCAGGCATGTCACAGAGCTAGGACCCATCCGGTTGGATTAGCTTTATCGCCATTATCCAGTTTCTAGTTATCTGCAGTAGAAATATGCTCCATGTTTGATCACTATGTCTGGTTCCACAAAGCCTAGGAACATAGAGAACAACTTCAGTGCCCTAAGAGATGTGCACAGGTGCTCGTGGTGTACACCAAGACATGCACACAGGTGTGCATATGCACAGATGCGTTGACATACACACACACTCTCTCTCTTTCACAGGAGATCATTTTGGGAATTAAAGTAAACCAAGGAGGCATGGTGTCATTTAACAGTTACCCTCATTCATCATTTCATCTTTAACTGCAGGGAAAGTATATTGAGAGCCTATTGTGTGCCAGGCGTTAAGCTGGTTGCTTTGCTTCGTTACCAAATGGAATTTTCACAACAGTCTCACAAGGTAGAATTATTTTTCTTTGTTTACAAATGAAGGAAACTGAGATTCAGAGCAGTTAGTAACACATTCAAAGTCACACTGCTGGCAAGAAAATTGGCAAGTTTAAGCCTGGGTCATCTGACTCCAAAGCATAAAATATTTTCCCAACCTCACACAGTGCAGGGGAAAGATCACCTGTCAAAACCACAATAGGAGAGTTCCCACGTTGGCTTCTCCATTCGCTGCTTACGTGAGTTGGAACCAGTCTCTTAACAACTCTGGGCCTTCATTTCACTGTCTGTAAAATGGAGCTGCTGGTACTCATCCTGGCTAACTGACAGAGTAGCTTAGACAAGATCATGCCTATGGCTGTGCTCAGTAACTTGTAAAACACCATGTAAATGTAATCAGTGTGTTATTAGAAAGGAAAAACTCCAAAGCCTCTGTAAATTATTAGCCATCAGAGCAAATTCTAGCCAAAACTGTGGGATAGGCAATATTCTAATTCAGCAGCTTCTGCTACTCTCTTGGTGTTTCTCTTTTTCAAAAAGTTTACTGCTGCTTTGTCCTCACCTTAATGCAGCTCTCCCTTCTTTGATGCTCCTTCTTATGACTTACATAAAACCTTTCCATCCCATGTGCCATTCCCTTGAGTGTCAACTCTCTGGAAGACTACTACTAAGTAACTGAAGTTGATATGCTACTGTGTGTCATTGACATCTCTTCAGCAGCCCACCATGATGAAAACCCAAAAGGCAGAAATCAAAGGAAAAATGTTAAGCATGAAGGAGACAAGTGAGAAGAAAATTTGGGGATGAGAAATATTTTCTTGGTGTCCCTCAAATGACCAACAACAACAACAACAAAGTACTTTCAAACACTTCATAACTTATATAAAGTGTTATAACTTAATATTGAATTTAATCCACAATAGTAATGATGATTTTGAAAGAAGCATTCAAGACTTTGAAGATTTCATTCTAAACTGAGAACATTAATGATGTATTTGCTCCAGCAAATATGCAATGAGACAAGACTTCTTTGTGAATTTCTGATTATTTTGGCATATGGCTTGCTAAAACAAATGTTTTACTTTTTTAAAAAATTTTTCCTTAATAGTTTACACACCAGTCTTAACTCTGACCTTATTTTTAATTTTATTTTTTATTTTTTATTTTTTTTTTTTGAGGTGGAGTCTCACTCTGTCACCCAGGCTAGAGTGCAGTGGCGTGATCTCACCTCACTGTAACCTCCACCTCCTGGGTTCAAGCAATTCTCCTGCCTCAGCCTCTGAGTAGCTGGGATTACAGGCACGCACCACCATGCCCAGCTAATTTTTGTATTTTTAGTAGACATGGGGTTTCACTGTGTTGGTCAGGCTAGTCTTGAACTCCTGACCTCGTGATCCACTCACCTCAGCTTCCCAAAGTGCTGGGATTACAGGCATGAGCCACCATGCCTGGCCTAACTCTGACCTTCTTTTTTGATATTAACACCAGTATGTCCATCTCAGCCAATGTTTTATGGGAAGTCTTCATACCCAATTGGAACCTTTTTTCACGTGGCCCAATCACAGCAGAAGACAGACAGAAAACCGAGATCCAGCCTGCTGCTGTTGTCTGACCTTGGACAAATCTGAGCTTTTCCTCCTTGAAGCATATAATAAAGGATTTAGGGTCAATGATCTCAGTGAGGAGTCTCTTCTATGTCTATGCTTATCTGAACACTAGAGAGTCCAGACAAGGCCTTGTTGAACCAAGGCACAGCTTCAGGTGCGAAGGATAATCTGGAATGCACAATCCTCACATTTTCTTAAATTCTCTAGATGAATTTCAAATAAGTGACAACTTCATCTTTTATATGGGAATCTTATGAGATAAATTCTAAATGTCTAAGAAGTTTCTAAGGTAAGAGACCAGGAGGCAAGTACCAACATAAATGTTTGTACACTGGCATTTTCCTCACTCTTCCACACAGTTTCGTAACGACTACAATATTTTGGATTGGCCTGTTTAATAACCCTCAGGCTTCCTGAAGAACAAGTGTTTCTACTATTTGAGTTCAATTTCCCTGAAGGGTTAAAATTTAAAAGCCCAAATAGATTTAGAAGTCATGGTGCAGAGAAGATCTCCTTTTTAAAAGCTAGATTTACGTTGACAGTATGCCAAGGTCACTTAAGTTTTCATTTATAATTGAGATTATGAGATCTTAAAAAAAGTACTTATTCTGTTTTCTAGAAAACAGCACACAATTTGTACTTCCTGTCTTACACTTATTTCAGATATTGAAAAGTAATATACCATTATTCAGATAATCTTGTCTTAGTCGGGGTGACCCTGCGAGCAGAGTTGAGACTCAGGTGCAGGTTATTTATGCAGGAGATGACCTGAAGGAGCCAACAGCATTACAGAGGGAAGAAGTAAACGTTCATTTAACTGTGTGTTCAGTGTGTCACATAAGCAAACACTATACTCAAATTGGGTTGAGCAAGTAGTGCTGCAAACTTATTTATTCTCTTAACAGGTTTGCTAGTGAGAGTCTGCTATGTGTATGTTACATGTAAGACCACTAAGTGTGGGAAGTCTGGGGATGGAATTACTCTTTTAAAAAACTTGAATAAGATACTGGATGGGGAGGTTTTTCTACCTCTTTGCAAAATGTTTGTTTATTTCATTGACTCTACCAACTTTGTCACAAATTAGCCTAAGTAATGTAGGATAACTTAACACGCCTACGCAGAGATGCCACATTGCATATGATAAGATGTCCCTTAAAGCATTGCCACCACCTGATGCTGATGTTTCAGCCACTTTGGATGCTGGTGAAAGCAAAATTGTGTGAGTCAACGGCAAAAGTGTTAAGAATATAGAATTTTAAAATTCGTTTTATGAGGAAAAAATGAAAATTAGATAGAATGTTCAATATCACTATCTCCAGGCTCCATTGTTAAAGTTCTGCATTCTAAGACCTAGGATCACAATGGGGTATATAAAGAAGAATATCTAAAAGATGGGAATTAGTCAACATACACAAACAATCCAAGAAGAAAAAAGGAAATGAAAAAATAAACAATGGTAAATATCAAAACAAATGTGTTCAGCATGTACACATGTAATGATGTGTCTCTCTGATACTCTAAAAAGGGGATATATTTATTAGCCTTTAATTTCTAGAGACAAGATGGTGGGGTTTTTTTCCAAATTAGCAGAAAAACAGGAAATGTTAGTTATTCACAAGTGATTACAATTATGACAAAATTAAGACAACTAGACATTTCCAAGACTGAAGAACAAGAAGAGTGATTTGCATGAAAATGTAACACTACATTTATTCTTCTAATATAATCACCAGAGAACTTGACTATGATTAATTATTCCTACACTTCTCTAAAATAGAATGTGGAAGCTATGACTCACTTCTGGTCCAGCTCCTCTCCACCAGATAGACCTAAGTCTGAAAACATATTGGAACCACTCAAAAAGAAAAAACTCTTGTCAAACTTAGAATTATTATCACTGTCATGATGTTCAAATTACTTCAATTTATATGAAGTATCAAGTTACTTCAATTTATATGAAGCATAATAAATACAATATTGAAACTACTAGTGCATTTATATAACATTCAGGTTTGAGAAATTTGCTTTAATAACTTTGAAAGACAAAATAACTATTTCTGACTTAGATGAGAATTTTTTTTATTTGACTTAAATACCAGCTTCTTTTGCTAATAGCTTTAAGTAGTCCTACTTGGTTCTAAGAATTTGAGCAAAGTACAGCTAGCCACTTGTAGTGGGCAATTATGTATACATAAAGCATAAACTAGCAATGTTTTCACATTTTTTGAAACAGCGAGATTAAATCCAGAAATATCCAACTTATTTATTTTACTACAACAAGGAAACCAGAAGGAATGTCAAAGGAAGATACTGAAGTTGATACTTATTGAGCAACAATTTTGTGCTAATTTCACACATTTAATCACTAAAACATGTCTATTTATGTATCATTGTAACCACAGAGGAAACTGAGTCTCAAAGGTAAATTTGACCAATTCAACCAAGCTAAGGAGAAGAATCATAATTCAAGCATGACTATGTGAATGATAAACTTTTACTGTTTCTTATTTCCACTGTGCTAAAGATCAGAAAATATTTTCTATAAGGAGTCAAATAGTACATGTTTTAGGTTCCGGTGTAGTATGAAAACAGCCATAGACAGTAAGCAAATGAGTGAATGTAACTATGTCCCAATAAAACTTTATTTACAAAAACAGACTCTCGGTCAGATTTGAGCCTGGACTATATAGTTAGCTAATCTCTGGACACTACCATCCAACAACAGCAACAATAATTACCAAACTACAACAACCACAACAACATATACTACTACACTGCTACTACCATCACATCTATTTATTTGAGCCCTTAGTAAATGTCAAGTATTATGTTAGATATTT